GAAGTCACAGTTGATCTCAGAAAAGCACAGGACGTAGAGCTCCCCTGGGTGGCAGCTGCTTTCCTGGTGGGAACCCCACCTGCCCCTCACCTTGTCAATGAAGGAGGCGAACTTGTTGTTGAGACTCTTGATCTGTTCCTTCTCCTCCTTCCGCACCCGCTGGAGAGAGGGATCAATCTCCAGGTTGAGGGGGGTCAGTAGACTCTGGTTGACAGTGACCTCATGGATGCCTCCAGCTCCAGGCGTCATCCCGCCTCCAAATCCATACCCGCTGCAGGCTCCCCCAACTCTGTAGCCTATGCCCCCAGCACCCAGCCCATAGCCAGCTCCCCCGAAGCCAGCCCGGCTGGACCGGTAGCCCCCGCTGATGGAGATTCTCTTGTTACCACCAAGGCCATGGAGGCTCCTCGTCCCAAAGCTGCCCCCAAGGCCGCCTCCGAAGCTCTTCCCACCCTGGGACACAGAGACAGAGCTGAAGCTGGGTCGGTAGCCTGGGAGGAGATTGGCAGAGGAAGCACTGAAGTTGCGAGTGCCCCCTGACTTGATGGTGATGGTGGATCGTTGGGTCATGGTGGGAGCTGCTGTCAGAGGGTCAGAGGAGCGAAAATGTCAAAAGAACCGAGGAGCCTTCAGAGTCTAGCTCTCCAAAACTCTCCTCGACTTTTATCCCTTTCAGGAACTGGGCTTGGCTGGAGGAGATCAAAGACCACTCCGTTGAGTTCATCTCAATGGCATGTTTGGCCACAGCCCATCTTCCTGACCCGCTAATCACCATGGGGAACACCCTGCCAGGGCAGGACCAGGCCTGGGCCTTTGGGCTGGGGCAGGCCTGGGTTCCCAAGCCCCTCACCTGCCCAGGCTCTCAGCGACAGGCTGTGGACACTCCCCGTGCTTCTCATCTGCAACTCCCTTCTCTATTTCCAGGTCCTGAGCTCTGAACCCAAGCACCTGACTGTGCCTTTCCCATCCTGGTCACTTATGATAAAACGAATACATATACTGGGGATTCGATCTGTGCCACACCACGCGGCAGATCAGGAACCAGCATTACTTCATTTAATTCTCATAACTTTGTGAGGACGGATGATAAAAATAATAATTGTCAACGTTTCTTGAGGAGCTACTATGGGTAGCTGCTTTGCACCTATCTTCTGGTCTAATCTGAAACAGTACTGTGGGGGTAGCTATGAGTATTCTTGTTTTGCACATGGAACAATCGAGGCACAGTGTAGTTAGGCAACTCATCTGAGGTCCCATGGCTAGTGCATGCTGGGCCAGTGTTAGAAACCAAGCTCAGAGGGCAGAAGCCAGGAAGCGGTCGGTGTTTCATTCCAAATCCCCGTGTCTCCCCTGCTATCATCTTGGCTCAGAATGGGCTCCTCCCTGGGGTCCAGGGATTGAAAATTTTTCTCCTCTCCCTTCTGTCACTCTCTCCCAGCTACTCCAGACTTTAGCCCCTGATTCACACTAATCTTCTCCCTCTCCCTGCCAGTTCACTCGCTGCCCCTTCACCAGGACGAGGGTTTTTCAGAACGCTGGTGCCTTCATAGCTCCCATCAGTTCTCAGCTCGGTCCTGAGCATTGAGCCCACTCTCTCCAAGCCTGTGTCTCAGGGCAAGCCCACTGGGCTATGCCCCAGCTCAGCCTGATAGGAGAGGTCCAGAGACTGTAAACTCAGGAATGTGGGAGCTTCCTGGATGTTTCGCTGCCACCTGCAATTATGGGCTAAATGGCCCCTGTGCTTGGTGAAAGCATTTCCCCTAGGGCTGACTTTTAACTCCTCTCCTGGCCTGTTATTTCTCTGTTTGGGTCTGCAAGTTTGAAGCTGCCAGGGAACAATCAACCTCTTTTCTGGAGGAGGCCTGGGCCACCCACCCTACGTCAGTGTCCCTAGAACATAGTCTGGTTTTGGGAGGAGATGGCATCGCCCTGCATGACATACAGAGCAGGGATGCTGGGCAGGGCTTCTGCCCAGGGGCTTGGGCTTACCAAACAAGGCATGGCAACGAGAGGTAGGCGGATGTGGGCAGAAGTCAGGGGAGGAGGATTCTGGTGGGCCCCTGCCCTCCCCGCACCTCTGCAAGCCCTGTCTCTCCCATCTTCCCATCAAGCATTCTTAGCTTGGGGGGGAGGGCGTGAGGCATGATGTGCCCAAAACTGCTTGTGTGGAGCCCCATGGTGGGAGCAGGCCTCGGGAAGGAGGAGCATTGCTCTGGGCTCCGTCATTCCAAACACAGGGCTGGACACCAAGCACATTACACATGCATTTAATAGACACATTCCAGGGAGGGGACAGAGAGAGCGTTCACTCCCAGCAGGCAGCTTATAAGCACCATGAGATGGGCGGGGGACAACCTGGCACTGAGATGGCTTCACAGACACAGACTTCCCCTGTCTCTGCGTCTGGAGGGAGGGAGGAAGGTGGAGCTGAAAGGAGAGATTCCAGACTGTCTGAGCCTCTGCAAGAGAAGCTGAATGTGAACCTCAAAAGACAATCAGCTTTGGTTTTGCATATCTACCACAGAGAGGTGCCACGAGCTGTCCGAAGGGCAGAGGCTGGCTTAGGCAAGGAGTGGGGTTTAGCCAGGACGCCAGGCTTGCACAGCACAGGGGGGAACTTATGGAGGGGAGATGAAGGTGAAGGACCCAGGCATCCAGGTGTGAGTGCAAACAGGGCAGGGGTGGCTGTGCTCAGTGCTTGTAGCTCTTCCGGCTGGAGGACGTGGTAGAGACAAACTTGACACTAGAGCCATTGCCCCCTAGGCCCCGGCTGCTACTGGCACTGAAGCCAGAGCCCCCCAGGCCTCCACCCAGGCTGTGCCCGCCACTGCTGGTGAAGGAGTAGCNTTTGGTCTCCAGGACTTTGTTCTGCTGCTCCAGGAATCGCACCTGCCCCAGCCAGAGGTAAAAGATTGTGAGGGCTTCCACAGAGCAGCCTCTCCCCATGCAGTAGCCTCCCAGAGGGTCCTGGGATATAGGACCCCCAAATTGCAGGATGGCTCTGCAGAACCTTGGAGTCTAGGTTCCCTCTCTTCTTCCTCGGCCTGTAAGGAGCTGAGCAAATGTTGGAATAATGGGCTTGGGAGACAGGTGGTGGTTTAGTTAGAAGAGGGAAGAAGCAGGAAGAGCCAGAGGGGTTGGAAGCTATCTGAATACACCAAACCAGGCTACTACGTGGTAACTTAAGAAAAGACCATCCACCGTCACGTGACTGGGTGAGGTTCCGATTCCCACTAAATGGACAGGAGGTTTTCGGCAGAAAATTCAATCTGTTCATTTTCTTTCAGATGTAATTTCTCTAGATCTAAACTGGACTCAGCTGCCCCACACTCCAGATTTGCTGAAATGGGTCACACTGTAACTACATTGAGGAGACCTGGGCACAATCCCAGCCATGTCCCTCACTGCTTGTGTGGCCCTGGGCAAGTCCCATCCTCTCTGCTCCTTCTAGTCCCGTGTGGTCTTGTGCTGTTAATTTGGGTGTCTTTAATTGTCCCCTTCTGCTCACCAGCCTGGAAGGCCTCCCTAGAAATATAATAATTTCCCCCCTAAACAAAGTCCTTCCACTGGGAGCAGCTGGAATGGCACCCGGCCTCAGAGAATGAAGGAACAGAGCCTCCATGACTTTGGAGATGGTAGTGTCCTTACAGAGAGCCTTTAACAAATGCGTCCTCTCCTCTCTAGCTCTTGCACTGTAGCAGGAAGGAAGAAAGTCCTGTCTCTAATTCCCTGCCTAGTCCCACCTCCTCTTTCCCAAGGAGAAGCAGAACCTACGTTCTTCTTGTCACAGTCAATCTCCTGGAAATCTCACCTCTGTTAGTGCAAACACCAGGCCAGGCGGGTGACGTGGAGTGATATAGTTTAAGAACCGGTGCCTGAGCAGTGCCTTTGGTTAGGTCTACACATTCAATGATCTGGGTCCATACAATGAGGTATTTCATAGCTTGTTTGACCTGCAAAGTCACCTTAAAGTCCATCTATCTAACCCAACTGAGGCCTGAGAAGTTTGGTGACTCTCCTAGCAGTAGAGCCAAAATTGGAACCTGGGCTGGTTGCCTCTTCTTTTGCACTCTTCCAGACCCCAGGCATGAAGCCTGAGTGATCCAGATCCTTGAATTTGTTCTTCCCAGGCAAAAACAGCTAGCTCAGGTGTGTGACGGTGGTGATGCAAGATAGAATAGTTTTAGGGAGGGGCTCCCTCCCAGAGCTGGAGAACCCCTAGGATTCCAGGCTGTGCAACAGGGGGACTCAGATGAAGTCACAGCTTTTCCCTCACCACAAAGAAAGTGCTAAATGCTCTGAGTGCACCCCTCCCACCTAAATTTTCTGCTCCCACCTCAACAAGATGGGAAACCACCCCTTCCTCCACTCCATAAGCAGACTAACTAGCCCGCAGGAGCACAGGTCCTCGGAAGTCACAGTTGATCTCAGAAAAGCACAGGACGTAGAGCTCCCCTGGGTGGCAGCTGCTTTCCTGGTGGGAACCCCACCTGCCCCTCACCTTGTCAATGAAGGAGGCGAACTTGTTGTTGAGACTCTTGATCTGTTCCTTCTCCTCCTTCCGCACCCGCTGGAGAGAGGGATCAATCTCCAGGTTGAGGGGGGTCAGTAGACTCTGGTTGACAGTGACCTCATGGATGCCTCCAGCTCCAGGCGTCATCCCGCCTCCACCACAGCTGCTGGAAGAAAGGAGACATATCAGAAACAAGAGCACAAGAGAAGACACCAGGGATGTCAGGGCACGTAATCTGAAGTCCTAAGGGAGGGATGGGCAGTCTCCTCGGGCAGCTGTTTGCCTCCTACCACTCTCCCCTGCCTGCTTAGTGACATCACTGTCCTATGCCTCAGCCCATTTCTGCCTGAGCTGCAGCACTGGCATTCTCCCAGGCTGGAATGGCTTCCTTCCTCCCCACAGCTCCTCGGTGCCTCTCCTCTCCTTCCAGACCTACTGTAAGCTGCTCCAGTCCACCTGCATTCCCTCTGCTCCCCTGCTGCTCCGTCTGATCCTGTCTCCCTCTGTGGGCCTGGCTCTGGAGTCTCCCTTCCTTTTGGAAGTTGACAGGGTGGGGCATGCCCTTTCGGTGGTGTCCCCCAGTCTTGGTGCTCTGAATCCCAGAGGGGGGCTGGAATGTTCCTGATAGACCAGGTGGCAGGTGAATGTATCAGCCAGTCACCTGCCCTTTTCTCCTCCTAACCTGTTCTTTTCCTAAGTTATAACCACTCATCACCTTAAACATTCTAGAACCCTGCCTTGGGCTCTTCAGAAGAAAAATTGAAATAAAAAATGGACTTTTTTATGGGATGAATTGTGTCCTCCAAAAAACTATGTTGAAGTCCTAACCCCTAGTACCTGTGACCTTATTTGGAAATAGGATCTTTGCAGATGAATTCAAGATAAAGTCTTTGGGGTGGGTCCCAATCCAATATGACTGGTATCATTATAAAAAGAGGGAAGATGTCCCTCTGAAGACATGAACACAGTGACAGTCATATGATCACAGAGACAGAGATTGGAGTATTACAGCCACAGCCAAGGAACACCAAGGATTGACGGCCACTACCAGAAGCTAGGAGGAGGCAAGGAAGGATTCTCTCCAACAAGTTTCAGAGAAAGCACGGCCCTGCTGACACCTTGATTATGGACTTCTAGCCTCCAGAACTGTGAGACAAAACATTTCTGCTGTTCTAAGCCATGCAAATGTGGAACTTCGCTGCAGCAGCTGTTGGAAACTAATACAGACCTTCAAGTGTTTTCAAGAGAAAGGAAACTTCAAGATTATGTCATTCGTACCCAGAATTAGGTTTGAGGATCTCTGGAGCCACTAGACAATGACATCAGGGAAGGAGGACACCTGGGTGGTTCAGAGGGCTCTGCCTTCTGGAATCATTGCTTAATGTAATGAGCTGCTCTTATGAATCCCCATCAAGAAAACCAAGCTCACTTGTAGTGTATGAATTGTACAAGTCGTTTCTGCTAGCCTCATGGTGCCAGCACTGAGCTCTGAGTGACGGCTTCTACTCTTGCCTGCAAAGGGCCATGCCAGCTTGCTAACACTGCTCCTGTTTGGTAGCAGCTGCACCCAACTGCCGTGTTCTACGCTGCTCCTGCTGCTGTGAAAAGCCCTGGCAACTTTCTGCAGTTGTACTTTGACAAGCTGAGCCAAGCAGTGAGGCTTCTTCCCTAACTGTTCTGGGGAGGAGCTGCCTAATTGGCAATGTCCTTGTGCCTAGTGTACAGGCTCCCTCCAAAGGCCCAAGGCAGACCAGGAATTTTCATAAATCCTCTACGTCAAATGCTTGTCTCTGAGCTACATTTGCAGCCCCAGCAAAAAAGGCATGGCATCCTAGGAGGTGGGAGGTGTGGCCAGGGTCTTCTAAACCCATGCAGAGTATTTAACAAGCTTTCCACTACCCTTCTGTGGCATTCCCATTCTCAAAGAGGTAAAATTCTGATGTTAAATACTTCTTCCTAATATGGCTTTCTTTTTAATGAACTCAAAACTGCAAACCTCAAAATGAACCCTGTCTGTTGGATCCCTCTAATGCCTCACGTCCTCACCCTCCTGCAAGTCCATCCCTCCCCATCACCCAACCCCAAGCACTCCAAATCACACAGACAGGATGCCATACTCACAGATGTTGACTGGAGAAACTCCCTCTCCACTCAGCCTGATTGGGAGCAGGGGGGAGAAGGAGGGTTACTATTGTGTTCAGCAGCTTATGGGCACTTGCAATGACACTTGCAATTGTTTTAAATGCATTTAAAAACCTTTATTATTTTTATTGTAGAAGTAATGCAGGTTGAAATTATTTAAATATTAGTAGTATTAAAAATAATAAACTAATGGATGAAAATAATGTGGAGTGTGAGGTTTATAGGAGTAAAACCTATAATCTCAGAAACTCATTTTTGGTTTAAATTAGTTAGACACTTTAAGGAAATTAAATCTAATCATACTCTGGCATCAATTGGAAAGGCGGGGCTTGTCCTATAACGAGACTTCTCTCTCAACAAGGGGCTATTGTCATGCACTGGGGCAGAGCTGAGGTTGTTATAGGTGTGGAGAGGAGTTTGAATCATAAAAATAACAACAGCAATAATCGGTCTATTATTATCTTAGCAACTAGAGTATTTTTGCTTTAGTATCTTGAGGACAGAACTGGCATTCATTGATAAACACATACTTAGAGCATTTAACAAAAGCTAACATTTACCAAGTACCTGTTACCTACATTATTCCACTTAGTTCTCTCAAAACTCCATTAGGTAGGTATTATTATCTCAGTTTTATAGAGAGGAAAATTGAAGCTCAGAGAGATTAATTAACTTGCCCACAGTCACAAAACTGGATCTGAAGCCAGGTTCATCTGACTCGAAAGCCCATGTCTTTGGCCACTAAACTGAATGATAACTAACATTTATTGAAGACTTACTGTGTACCATGCAGTGTTCTAAGAACTTCGTGTGTATTTGCTTATTTTAACTCTTTTAATAACATGAGTTTGGAACAATTGTTATCCTTATTTTATAGATGAGGATATCGAGGCATGGTGAGGTTAAGTAATTTGCCTCCAGCTGGTAATTGGCAGAGCACAAAGCTCCGGGATCATGTAATGTGGCCTCTTCATTCTACCATTGAAGAAATTGAGAGCCAGAGAGGGGAGAGTGACTTTTCCAAGGTTACACATCTAGTTAGCAGTAGACCTGTAAGCCCAAATCCTAGGACAGTTTATTCTCAGGCCAGAGCCTTCTACCATTGAAGAAATTGAGAGCCAGAGAGGGGAGAGTGACTTTTCCAAGGTTACACGTCTAGTTAGCAGTAGACCTGTAAGCCCAAATCCTAGGACAGTTTATTCTCAGGCCAGAGCCTTTTATGCCACATTTTGAAACCAGCCACATACCCAAATTTCTCCTTTGATAGAATTTGATTACTTAGGCCTGATCAGGTCCTAGATTTCTACGGGGTGCAAAATGTAGTTTCACTTCATATGATTTACTATCCTGGAAAGAAATGGCACCTGTATTCGTTTGATTACTTAGGCCTGATCAGGTCCTAGATTTCTACGGAGTGCAAAATGTAGTTTCACTTCATATGATTTACTATCCTGGAAAGAAATGGCACCTGTATTCTTTGTCATAGCCCAACTCCACCTACATTCTGCTCCCTTTTCCAGGAAAGGAGGGGGCTGCAGCAACCTGAACCCTTAGGGCTGCCCAGGCAGCCGGGGTGAGCTCAACTTGCTTTGAGGATGGAGTTGGTACACCTGCCCTCACCTGCACTCCTCGCCTTCCAGCAGCTTGCGGTAGGTGGCGATCTCCACATCCAGGGCCAGCTTGACGTTCATCAGCTCCTGGTACTCACGCAGCAGCCGGGCCATGTCCTGCTTGGCCTTCTGCAGGGCGTCCTCCAGGTCCACCAGCTTGGCCCGTGCATCCTTGAGGGCCAGTTCTCCACGCTGTTCTGCATCAGCGATGGCTGTTTGCAGGCTGGAGCACTGTTAGGAAAGGAAGAAGCCATGAGTCCTGCTGATAGCCCCTGGGGGTGTGGTGCTTCTTGGGTAGGAGTCCTATAAGATGGCATAATGACCCAGAAGAAATGAATGTATATGTAGCTGTTGGCCCTGCCAAAACTTTACCTGCTTCTTGACGCTGTCAATCTCAGCTCTCAGCCTCTGGACCATCCGGTTCATCTCGGAGATCTCTTGTTTCGTGTTACGGAGGTCATCGCCATGTCGGCCCGCTGTGACCTGCAGCTCCTCATACTGATAGAACCAGAGCAGACTCAATCACCTCATCAGATGCCTGGCCTGGGTACTCCTTGTGTGCCCAGCCTGTCATTCAGTGACACAAGCAGGCTCATTCATTCACTGGTCATTCACTTATTCCCTTACTCATTTATTCAGGTGAACCTTCATGAGCACATCCACTTGCCAGGCATGTGGTAGGCTCTGGGAATGCCACGATAAGCACAATCATCCCCCTGATGCCCTGAAGCTCACAGTTTATTGGGGCAGATACACATTAATCAAATCAGCATGCTATCGAATTTATAGATCTAAATTGAGATAAGTGTCCCTTAGGAAGTGAACAGGGTCCTAGAAGAGTGTAATAAAGGAATCTGACCTAGACTGGGAAATGGGAGCAGTGGTCAGGGCAGTCTTTCCAGAGATGGAGAAACTGAAGCTGTGGAAAGGAGGACCTAAGTGCCCAGCTTGGGGGAGAGGAATCCAGACAGAAACAGCCTGTGTGCAGACCCAGGGGCAGGAAGGAACATGGTCAGTTCTAGGAGTGAGGAAGTGACTTGGTCACTGTCCTTGAGGAGTTCCTGGTCATGCGGCATGTGTACAGACCAACTGTGCCCATGAATTTTGGTAGCCTCCAGACCCAGAGCTGGGGAAAGGGGGCTGAGGTGCAGGAAAATGGTGTTGGGTGGTGCAGCGGCTGTACATGGCGCAATTCTGAAGACTTTGTAAGGATCCTCACTCTCAGGTAGCTCTCAGTCTGATGGCACACATCCAGGACACACTCATTTAGGAGCAATAATTATACCCTGTCTCCTCCAGCAGACTGCTGTGAAATTCACACTTTTCCTGCCAGGAGAGCTTCTGCCTGAGCCAGATCTGTCCGGTTTTGAAAGTGCTGAATAGCTCAGCTTCCTGTTTCTAGATACCCAGGATTAAGGAACAACAGCTCTGACAGCACAAGTAATCATTCTCTGTAAATTCCACCACTTCATCTTGGGGTTAAGTGCGTCCCTCCTCCTCTCACCATCCAGGGGCTGCCTCTGCCCTGTGAACCCCAGCCCTTGACACCCTCCTTCCTCTCTGCTACACTGCTGCCTGGAAGGGACCAAGGCAGTCTCTGAGAATCTGCCCCTGGGAGGGCTCTGGACATTGCAGACAGCTGATCTCATGGGCCTCCTACACCCCTCTAAAGCCAAACCTCCTTCTGGCCATCAGAGCCTTTGGACAGCAAGCAAGCAGCTCTCTACGGTCATCCCAACCTCCCACTTCCCAACACAAACCCTCTTGCCCAACAAAGTGCCCATTCCTGCCTTCCAGGCTCTTGCTCAGCCTTAAACATCACCCTGCTCCTTGGCTATCTTTTGTCCCTCACTGCTTCCTAGCTGGACTAAAAACCCACCTCTTCCTGGAAGCTTTTTATTAATGCTGTCTTTTTCCCTTCCATGATTGTCCTTTCACTTCATGGCCTCCCAGACCTTGGGTTCTCTGTTTGCAATTTATTCATTTACAGCCCTGTAACCCTACCTAGCATACAGCAGGAGCTCAGAAAATAGGTATGGAATAAATAAGACCTTTAGAAACTGCTTTATGACTGTTTCGTGGTTGTTTTGGAGTCTCGCCCAACCTCCAGCCAGATCCTGAGCAACGTGGGGCCTGTGGATGTCCCTCTAAGCACCCAGCATAGCCATGACCACATGTTAGCGTGCGTGGTTAGGCTTCACATGCATTTCAGGCTAAGTTTTCATAGTCTCAAAGATGCTCCTGACAAGTGGAAAGAAACAGAAATGCTCACATTTCCTGAGGCCAGGAACCCATCATGGAGGCACCCATGCTTACCTTGGTCTGGTACCAGGATTCAGCCTCGCTCCGGCTGCGGTTGGCAATGTCCTCGTACTGCGCCTTGACCTCAGCGATGATGCTGTCCAAGTCCAGGTTGCGGTTGTTGTCCATGGAGAGGACCACAGACGTGTCGCTGACCTGGGTCTGCATCTGGGACAGCTCCTGTGGGACAGGAGACTCAGTGTCACCAAAGCATCAAAAGAAGGGATCTAAAATCCCCATGGCTGACTACTCATCTGGGTCAGGAATCCCTTCTTTGGTATCCTTGGCAGAGATACTTCCAGCTGTTCCCTGGGCACTCCCAGCCCTCTATTGGATCCCATCCCATCCTGGGAAGTTTTGGGGTCATTGGTCAGTGTGGGGGGTGGGTTTCCCCAGCATTGCTTCTCAAGGCCCCATCTGTGTACTTTCCCTCAGTATGAGGAGGACTCAGTGTCCCCTGAATCCAAATTACGTGGATTTGAATATGACATGTGTTTGTTCAATATGCCAGCACAAAAGGTCTCTTTGGGATTGGTGATATTTAAGACTTTCCCTCAGTATGAGGAGGACTCAGTGTCCCCTGAATCCAAATTACATGGATTTGAATGTGACATGTGTTTGTTCAATATGCCAGCACAAAAGGTCTCTTTGGGATTGGTGATATTTAAGACCTGCTGACCCCCCATAGTGTGATGTCATCACTTCCTGCCTTTCTCCCTTTCCGCAGACCCAGGTCTCTGCCTTTAGAGATGCAGTATCCAGAATAGGCATCTTCGGAGGGCAAGAAGCCCTCTGCCCAATGAGCTGAGGACAGCTTGCCTTTTTGAACTTTTCTGGTAGGGAGTAGGGAGCAGGTTGGTCTTGATTCCTTGGGAATGTTACCCAGTGACCTAGAACTTGGGAATCAGCATTCCCTCCTTGCTAGGCCTGTCCTGCCATGATGTGGGGGAGAAGCCTCAGAGCTGGGGTAGTTTAGTGTGACAAGGTTCCAGCAATTGTCCCTGGTCCCCACTATCCTCTAAGCCCCAGCCTGGAGCATCTGGAGCAAGATGCTGGGTAGAGGCACTAATGGACGGCACCCGGCAGCTTCCTTTTCTTTCCAGGCTCCAGACCTGGGAGGAACAAAAAATCTTGAGGACCCTTACTGCCTCAAAGAACATCTGGAAGAAGTTGATCTCGTCAGTCAGAGAGTTGACTTTGGCCTCCAGCTCCACCTTGTTCATATAGGCACAGTCCACGTCCTAGAACGAGAGCATAGGAAGCTCCTCTGAGAACCTAGCCCCAAGCAGCAAGTCCAAAAGAAGCTGGCAGATTCCTGCCTGGCCCTTCAAGTTCGGATTTTAGAAAACTGTCTGGGGGTTGAGGCTGGGTGATCACTGAGAGCTACGGAATCCAGTTCCCTGGGCTAACAGAAACCCAAGCAGGTCAGCGGGGCTATATGCTGGGAGAGAGCGTTTTGGCAGGTTTGAGCTCTCCAGATATTCTCAAGGTTGATGTGACATTACTTGGGTGACTCAAGGGTCAGGTCACTCCACACTCCAAGATTCAGTTTTAAATCTTCTTCTTTTAGGGACATTTCCACTCACCTTTTTCAGGGCCACAAACTCATTCTCAGCAGCCGTGCGTTTGTTGATTTCATCTTCATACCTGTCAGGACAGAGGAGCGGAGTGTGCTATTGAGCAAGTACCCACTGTGCTCTTCCCAGGCAGCTGTTGCAAGAGTCAGGAGACCTCAGATCCTTTCCAGCTCTTCCGCTGACCTGTGTGTGACTTTGGGTGATTCGCTTAACCTCTATTTCTCCCTCTATTAAAAGGGGGATAATTTCTTCTGTCAGTTTTTAAAAAACCTTTTGTAAGACTAGAAGGTAAGAACAGATCTTAGGGGAATAGAAATAGGTACTTATGTAACTCCATCTTTTTATAGATGCACAATTCTAATCTTTAAAAAATTTGCTGTCTCAAGTGCCTGCTGAAACTGTGGAGTAAATTTTATCTGTTCAGGATGTGTTCCAGGTAGATTCTGGTATATTTTCACTGAACCTCAGCGTGGCTGTTGAGCAGTGTGCTTTTTGTAACCAGGTGTAGCTCAAACTCAGAAACCAAGGGTCAGCCAGCTTTGGGGAGAGCTAGTTCACCCCTTTCCTCTGGCTATCTCACCTACTGCAGCCCGAATGATGTGCAGTTAAAATCTGCCTCCATGAGGAAGATCAGATTGCCTCATTTAAACCCTCACTTCTTCATTCCTACCTCTTTTCACTCCTGAGCTAATGCCATCTTGGCAATGCAAGCGATCTCGATAACTGCGCCCATGTCCAATGAAGTTAAACAATATGCTGATCGTGGAATAATACTACTCTTTCCAGAGCTTGTAGCAATGTTTCATTAGATGACGTTGGTATCCCTTTGCAGTCATGTAAGACAGATAGAAGTAGGCTCTTTGTTAATGGTGTGCACGAGATGAAGTTCCCTTTGTTACCCCACACTATGCTGTCTTCACCTGATGGGAGAGTGACTGCAAGTTCCAAAGCTCCTGCCTGATACTGACATTTTCTCCTTTGCACCTCTCTGCTCCTCATAAAACAGAGGCCTGGGAAAGCTACGTGTGGCCGGAAGCTGTCTCCCACTTACCTGACTTTGAAATCTTCCACGACATCCTGCATGTTCCTCAGCTCAGCTTCGAGCCTGCCCCTCTCAGTGCTGAGGCTGTCCAGCTGCCGTCGGAGGTCACTGATGTAGGTATCAAAGAGGGGCTCCAGGTTCTGCCTCACAGTCTTGGTGCCCTGCTCCTGCAGGAGGTTCCACTTGGTCTCCAGGACCTTGTTCTGCTGCTCCAGGAACCGTACCTGGAGGGGAGAAGAGAGAATAAACTCTTGAGAAGCTGGGGAGGTAGAGCCAGACACTCCTATTAATAAGGGAGAGAAGAAAAAGATATTTTTCATCTGATACCCACCTGGCAACTATGTAATCGACAACTCCAACCCAAAATGAGAAAGCCCACTAACCTAGCCAAGAGCTCCCTAGGGCTTCCATAGAATCAGTGTGGTGGGATCTAGAGGCCTGTGTTCTTCGGTTGAGTTTCTCAACACGGTCTGCTTTGGGTTGGGTTAGTTTGCTCAGTGGAAACTCTCCTCCTGTGGAGAATCAACTTAACTCTTCCCTCAGAGTTGATTCTGAACCAGCCCATGTGACTCCCAAAGAAGACAAGGGGAAATTTCCACCAGGTCCTTGGGGCAAGGTAGCCTTGCCCTGGAAATGACTTGGCCCCGTGGGGGGCACCTATTGAAGGGATGCACTGTCCCGTAGGGAGGCTGCTGAAACATCGCTCTCCCCTCTGGGCTGGGGCCTTTCCAGGAGGTCATTCAACCCCAAGCCCAATGGAACAGGTGAAGGTCTTGGCTCACCTTGTCAATGAAGGAGGCGAACTTGTTGTTGAGGGTCTTGATCTGCTCCCGCTCCTCTTTCCGCACCCGCTGGATGGCGGGGTCAATTTGCAGGTTGAGGGGAGTCAGGAGACTCTGATTGACAGTGACCTCTTGGATGCCTCCAGGGGGGCACATGGGGAAGCCAGAGCCCCCAACTCCCCCTCCAACTCCACCCCCATAGCCAAATCCACCGCTGACTCCAAGCCCACTGCTTGCCCTGCCACCAAAGCTGCTTCGAAAGCTGCTGCCACACCCACCAATGGAGACCCGTTTGGTCCCCCCCAGGTTGTAGAGGCTGCGGCTTCCAAAGCCAGCACCAGTGCCGCCGACCCTGCCCAGCCCTCCACTGCCTCCTGTGGAGCGGGCCACAGAGACAGAGCTGAAGCGGGAGCGCCCAGCAGCTGGGGTGGTGGCCGAGGCGGTGCTGAAGCCCCTGCGGCCACCGGTCTGGAAAGTGATGGTGGACTGCCGAGACATGGTGGATGAGGAAGGCTGCAGGGAGAGCTCCTGAGGTAGGCGCGAAAGGGGAAGGAGAAGACAGGTAGCTGGGGAGCCCCAGGGCCCCTTGACTTTTATGGGCCTCTGGGAGGGGCGGGGCACCGTTAATGAAGGGCACCTGGCTGATGGCATCCTTGAGGCATTTGCCAACCCTGAGCTCACATCAGCACCCCTGGGGAAATGGTGTGAAAGCCACTGGTTGGTTCCCCAGCATCCCTCCCCCATATGGAAACTCCTTTCCAGTTGCAACTTGATCAGCAGACATGTGAGAAGCATGTTAATTGCTTTCAGTCATGTCCTAATCATGCATCTTATGATGCCTCATTTCTAAACCGCTTTCTTAGGCCTGGGACCAACTCCGTCCTGTCCAAACACCTTGTGTCAATACAAGCACCTGAGACTCACTGTTTCCTGTTTCTTGGTTTGCTTCCTATTCTCGAGCATTTTCTCAGCACCAAGTGCGCAGTCCTCCCCACTCCATCAAGCTGTCCCCCAGATCTCGAAAATTCTGCTCTACAATAGTCTTCCTTAGGAATTCCTTCCACCTGGTTTTGATTGCCCCTTTATTTTGCTCTTCATGTGCCCCTTATTCTGCATCCCTGTCTATTGTGTAGTTCACACGTGATTTTCTGGAGCATGAATGTGTGTGTGCAGGCACATGTGCCCTGCCTACTCCAGTATAATGTGACTTGCAGGCCAGCCAGCCCTCTGCCTGAGCTGAGTAAATGTTTGTTGAGTCTTCTCTGCTTCCAGTGCAATCAATGAGCATGTGTCCATCCTATGGCAAGTCCAGTGGGGATTTGAAAGAAACATGATACACAGTCTAGTGGAGGGTTTTCTCTTTCCTTTTCCTCCCCTGGTTTATCTTGTTAACTGTGCCCTACATCCTCCATTAGTGTACAAGCTGATGGGGAGTCTACGAGGCTCTGCATCCCCCTTTTTTCTGCATCTCATCTCCCCGTCTCTACTGTGGGGGGAGTAAGACAGAGAAATTGCTAGTTCTTTTACCTTGCTGACCTCTAGCTTTTTGCTGTGGTTCTGAAGGATGGGAGAGTGAGAGAGGAAATGATATGCATTCAGTGTCCATTTTGTGGATGAGAAAATCAAGTCCCAGAATGGCCAATTACACCAACAGACAAATGTTGCCTGGTGAGTGAGAAGCGGAGCCTTCTGCCATGGCTTTCCACGCAGGCGTCCTTCAGAGGCACACAGTACCCGACGCTTTGGCAGGTCTCGCCTGCCTGGAATGGCAGCTTGGCACTTGGTGCGGTAGTTCTTTGTTGTCTGAGCTGTTTCCTCCTTGGGGCTGAGGTGGGGGGTGGGCCTCTCCTCCATCTGTAGATTGTGCGAGAGTCTCAGTCTCACTGTGACTCAGAGCTTTTGTTGATCCAGGCCGAGAAGAGCACAGGAGTTCTCTCACCTGCTTGCCAGTGTGCCCAGATCCCCACCGGCTAGTGTGTGCTTCTTGAGTGGAAAGAATAACCATTTTTGTTTTCTGTACTCCTCACTACATAATAATCTTTCTCTCAGAAGAAGGGACACTTGTTCCCTGAGCCGTGCTGCATAAACCCGTGCAGAGCTTTCTACAGAACCAAGGCCAGTGAGGGTCGGGGCGCAGGGAGTGGCTCAGCCCTGTGCACGGGGATGGAGGTCGCCCCGCTTGCTCCCACGGAGCTCCCGTGTGCAAAGCTGGCTCCAGTCTGCCTTCCCTCCTGGGCACCCTTTTCCTTCCCATACCTCCTCCCAGGACCCCCACTCCCAGGAAATGTCATCTTACTCTGTTTCTAGTTTCAGCCATCACCTCTCCTCTGGGGTGGCTCACTTCTTTCTCTCCCTCCACTCTCTCATTTTCCCACCAGGATTGTTGCTTCCTATGTTAGGTTGTCTGACTCACTGACTTTGGGGAGTTAGATTGAAAGAAGTAAGTCTTTCAGCCCTCTTCCTCCTTCACTCCCTCTTCTGTGACCTTTGACCTGCACTGTGACCTTTACCCTGGCAGTTGATGTCTGCCTAGGACACCTGGCCTCCCTGAGAGCCTGTGTCACCACCCCTTTTAAAATCTCAAAACTTATAGACTGTTAATACCTTCTTTGCTTTCTGCTAAAAAAGTTTTTGTGTGTTGTTTTTAAGCTTCTTTGTAATTCTGCTTAAAATTTACCCCCAGGAAGGCTTCTCAGATAAATGGGACCTGAGTGCTAGCTCCTTTACACTTGTCCCTTAGAGTGACTATGTTTGGCTTGCACTTTAGTGTGTTGGTTTTCTGGCGGTCTGGGTGTCAGTCTACCTCTGAGGGTTAGGGGTGTGTCTCCTCCTCAACTAGCCTCCACAGAACCTTTAATCGAATTGTGGCAGAAGTTCATGTGATATAGGGTGTCTAACTTAAAGATGGGCTATGTATTCCCTTCTGTTTTCTAACCATTCCTGAGTCTCTCCAACTCTGCGTTACTGGGTCTGTCCAGGAGGAGGTTTCTTGAGGTCGGGGAGTGGTAGATTCAAGGGCCATGGTGTGTGCTCTGGTACCCAGGTCTGGGAGAGCCAAACTCTTCAGTCTCCCTGTTCCCTGCCCCTCCTGCTCAGGGTGTTCTCCATCATCCTCAAGGGGATGCTGCACAGGTCTCAAGGATGCTGGGCCAGGTGGTGATCAGGGCTGCGGCAGTCGGTGAGGAGGAGGGGAAGAGGTGGAGATATGCCCCTAAGAATGAGGAGTGGGGGGCGTACCAGGGAGCTTTGGCTTCCAACCGGGCGAGGGCAGCCTGGATCAAATGCCATGGGACAGAGGGGATTGCCTCCCTAGGGCAGTCTGGCCTGGTGCCCAGAGTCTGGCTCCTGGGGCACAGCGTGTGAAGACCCAGACCACAGCTACCTATCCTCACTCGCCCAGTATGCTAGATCCTCCCGGACCTCTCCTCCTCTATGCGGAGTCCTGGCTTTAGTGAATATTTATTAGCACCATGATGTGCCAAGTACTCACTGTGCCAGGCACAAGAGATAGAGGAGTTAACAAAGCAGACAAAAATCCCTGCCCTTCCAGAGCTTGCGTTGAAAGAGGAAGGGGAGCTGGGGCAGCTTGCAGTGCAGTCACAACCTGGGTCCCCCAGTTGACACACTCCTAGCTCTGAATGTAGAGAAGATAATTCTGGCATGGTATCTGAGACACCCAAGCAGAAACATGTTTCTACCTTGACCACTGTGCTGGGGCAGCCACACTTCCTCAACATGTGGTATGTCTAACAGGCAACACCCAGCCTGCCTCTGATGGTGTCAGACCCTCCACCTTGCAGCCCCCTTTGCTGCTGCATTCGGTGGCAATTACCACTCTCCAAAGGGCACTAAATGTGCCAGCTGATCTCAACAAACCACCAACATTTAGAACTTGGGGGCTCCCACGGGCAAGCGGCCACACCCACCTGGACCTGGTCCTCGCCACTGCCAACATAACAGGCATTTCACAGGGACCCACATCTCATGGGCAGGTGCAGAGCCCTGTGCAGGTAGGCAGACAGCCTTCAAGACTCCTTCCATCAATTTTAGCAGCAAAATGGTGTGTTCTTTTCATTCATACTTGTGCTTAAAAGAAGTAAGATGGAGCTGTCCCTTCCTTCCACCATCGGGCTACTTCACATACGAAAATAAACACACAGACACGCATGTCTTAAGAGCATTCACAAAACAGCAATCTACACGTGAACGTGGTGCCAACTGGGTGCATTGGGATAGAAAAGCAAAGCAAAGGAGCAGAGTTAGTCCTTTAGAGCCTGGAGGAGCCCTAGAAGTGAGGAAACCAGGGCCGGAGAGAGGACAAGAACCACAGAAGGCCACACTGCCATTCTTTCTGCTGCCCAAAGCCTGCCCTGAGCCTCCCTTATGTTATAGAGCCCAGCAAGAGAAGCTCCCTGCTGCCCAGGAAGCACAGTCGGGGCTCTTCCTGAAGGGAGGGGTGGGTGAGATGTCAGGGCTCAAGGGCCCCCCTGGTGCACCCCCACAGATAGCCACTGAGGGCTTTAGACGGCAGAGGATTCCTGGTGTGTCCTGCTGGCCTTTCACCTCCAACCACATTAACAGCCTCTTTTGTTCCCAGGATTGGGATGTTTCATCCACCAAGTCTCCTGCCAGGGAAGAGCTGCCAAACAGGGAAGCTGCTGGGACAGGAAAGCGGGGGAGAAATGGGATGCCCAGCCTCTTTTGTTCCCAGGATTGGGATGTTTCATCCACCAAGTCTCCTGCTGGGGAAGAGCTGCCAAACAGGGAAGCTGCTGGGACAGGAAAGCGGGGGAGAAATGGGATGCCCCTCGGGCTCTTCCTCAGGGGCGGGGCCCAGAGGCCGTCTCTTCACTGAGGAGCACAGTGCCTAGAAGGCCGGCTGGCAAGCACTGGCATGGGGCCCCGCCCGTGGGCACAGTCTGGGTGGGCTGGGCAGTGCTGGCACACTAAGGGACGCTGTTGACACCACCTCACTGGCTTGTTACTGGTCTGGAGGTTACTGCCGAGGGTTGTGGTGTGTCACCAGCTGGGAAGTAAGAGCTGGGAGCAGGAGCCTCACTTGTGCAGGGCTTGGCACTGCTGGTATTTCATGAACTTGGACATCTGGAAATTCCTTCCTCCTTCTTTCTTTCTAGCCTCCGCCTCTCATCCCAGTTACAGCTGAGAGCCGCTTCTGACCTGAGCTTTTGAACAAGCTGCATTTGTTAATTCATTATTCATTCTTTCAAGAAATATTTGCTGAAGACCTACAATATGCTAGGCATGGGACACAGCAGCGGAGGAGGCACAGTCACTGACCATCATGATAGGGAGTCGCCTTGGGGCAGGCGCGGTGTGCATGGGGAGCTCTGAGACACCTGGGAGGGTGCCGCCTCCTCATGGACAAGTTGTGGCTGTTTCCCTCCACTCTGGAAAAGTTCGTAAAGTGCAGATGATGGAGGAGAGTGAGGCCCAGAGTCCTCCAGTGCTCTGTCACATGCCACACTGATCCCCCATGTGCCAAGAGAGAAGATAATTGCTCCCCATGATTCCCACCCCCCAGGGGCTTGCTGGGTCT